GTTGATATGGAGGATATTTTTAACATCAAGCTCCCATGTAATGGCCAATCCGTCAGGCAGCAAGTGCTGCTGATGGCAAAAAAAAGATGAATTCTGACTAGGTGTTTTCTCCTCCCCTTCACACACTCCTCCCTCTCCTCTCCCCCAGCATTACCCCCCCTTCCTTGGCTTCTTCTGGTCCTTCCCATTATCTCCACTTACTCCTGGTCCTGCAAAAGTCTTTGGTTTTGCCGTAGATACCATGGCCTCAGCGCTAGGGGCTGGTCCTGGAGCAGAGGACCATGTCACCCAGCCCAACCGTTCTGCTCCAGCGTTCCCCCTCTCCAACATCCACACCAGGCGCTCTGCCCCACAGGCTGTGGTGCCTGCGGGAGTCCCCAGCCTTCCTGCAACCTGCCACAGTTTCAGCTCGGTGTCCTACCTCCTGCTGAGCCAATGTCCCCTAAGGAGACGGCGTTAGACTGTGCGAGATGCCTGGCCCATGGGCTGGTGGGTTTAGGACTACCTGGGGTCCATCCATGCCCCACCGCAGACGCTAAGGCTCTGCTCACGCTGCGGTCCCAGTAAGTAACCTGGGCAGCTCCATACGCTGGGCTTCGTCAGAAGAACCGAGTCATTTCACGTACGAGTCGCTTCGGGCCTTATCTACAAGAACTGCCTTTAAGAGGAGAAAGTTCAGGCTGCTGCTGAAGGAAACGCAAAGAAAGTCGCTGAGCTTGCGCTGAGAAATAAAGGCTCATTTCCCAGCGAAGGCCATTCCCTCTGGGTGTGTTAAGACCCTGGAAGAAGTCCTTCAGCTGAACGATGGCTTGGGCTCCAAGAAGAAGCAGGTACAAGCTGTGACCCACTAGCAAGCCAGACAAAATGATGCAATGCTTCTTTCTTCCTGAAGTCTGCAACCTGTCCTCCAAAGACATTTAAAGATAAAATGTGCTGTTACAATAGGAGCCAATTTTGAGGCACGTGATGCTCCTGAGGAACAGTAACTGGTACCTGCCCGACCCTCCACGTAGCAGTGAGAAGTTTCAAGGAGCAGGAGGGGCCCTGCTGTAAAGTCACACCAGCACTTCTGCCGGAGTCAACCAGCGTTTCTTATTTCTCAGTCGATAGTTTAATCTATTTTAATGATTATCAATACTGATGTTGAGTGTAATCACCTTGTCTGATACAATTGCTAGAATCTAAAAGTCAACTTGATTTTAACGGTTTATTGTTAGGAGTATTATTTAGTTGGATTAAACTGGTCTTAATTCCTCTGCAGTCATCATTTAAAAGCTGTTTGGAACACATTACGGCGACTCCTCTCATCACGATATGAATCAATGCCCTGTCTCCATACCATATATTTTCAGCAGCATCTAGCAAGCAGCCACATGGACGGACACCAAAGTACTACAACCTATTAATATTCATGAATCATCCCTACCACCATTAAAATTTCCTTAAAATGCACCACAGCAGTGGTTGGATTTACCTCTCCTGGTGGTGATGGGGCCAATTAACCCCTGACTGTCAGAAGAACGGCTGGGAAATGCCCACGAACCAGGATTTGGAGAAGCTGGGGCAGCCCTCGCTGCAGTACTGAGGAGCTTTCACGGGACGGATCCGGATCTGTCGGAGGAAGCGCTGCGCTGCAGAGGCAGCTCTGGGTGCATCCCCATTGCTTGCCAGGGCTGTCTGTTGCCCACAGCGGCAAAAAAGCCCCAGACATGAGAACCGGGCTCCGCTGGCAGCAGGGATGTCACCCAGGGAGCATCAGCCTCCTGCCTGCACGGCCGCTGTAGGGAGCAAGGGCACATCCACAGCCAAGAGCCGTACCGGCGGCTTTTGGAAAAAAAACCTCTGGATCTCACCCAGACCTCGGCCCCGTAGCAGGAGGGGGCTGCGGACGCAGCGGGGCTGCATCACTGCTCCGTTCCTGGCTGGGTACCAAAACCACATCTCTCCTCCCTCCACGGCAGCGCCGTGCTCTGCTCCCCCGCTCGCGGGGACCACCACCCTCACCCACAGGACCAACAGCCTTCATGTGCAGAGCGTTCATTTCCCGGCCTTCTGCCATTAGGAAAGCAGGGCGAGGTATTTGTGCCGCTGGGGGACTTGCCTGGGCTCGCTTTGGGACGCAGGCACAGCCGGCGCGGGGTGCACGGACCCACCGTGCTCTGGCTCGGTGTCGTGGCATCAGCTCACCGCAGCCACTGGCCCAAGCGTTTTCCGTGTCCTTTCCTTGTTATCCATTAAGTCGTCTTCATTGTCTGTTACCCGAGCACTAATAAAGGCCATTTGAAGGGACCCAGCCCTGGATGTGGGTAACAGTTTCTCAGGGTTCCCTCAGTTAAAGCTTTAAGTACATATTTTTCTTGTTCAAACAAGTGATCAGAACTGATGTGTAATGGCCAGGAGTAACTCCATTCCTGGAAGAATCTTCCGTGGACGATGGAGAACTACGTTAGCTGAATTATTTCATTGATTTGTTTAAAAATAAAGCCCTGGAGACCTTTCAGATGTTTCCTTTAGTTAATGAGATTTCCATGATAGTTAAAAAAATAAAATTAGAAAACAATGCCGTTAATCTTGGATTACATGCAGCATGAGGGAAGAATTAGTAGCATAAAGTGAGAAGATTAAGACACTTTGCTTCCAACAAAGTAGCTGCAACAGAAGCTACATGTCATATTTTCCTGCCTGAGATTAACAAAGAGGTGATCAGGATCTGCCCTTTAGTCTCTAACCTGGTATATTTGGGCAAGGCTCTACCTCCTCCTTCTGACATGGCAGGGTCTGGTTCTGAGAAAATAATTATGGGCTGAGCAAAGGATCACAAAGACCTTGCATCCTAATGGGCGACAGGAAACAGCAGGACAACTGTATGTATTCGATCAGCTCTTGCAGTCAAATAGCTAATTGGAAATAATGTCTTCTCAAGTATAGGTATTTATTTAACTCATATACTAAATATTACATATATATGAACTATCAATAACTAGCTATCATTGCTTCACATTTAAAAAGTTAAAGTATTTTCCATTAAAGGCTCAAATTAAATCACAGTAACTTTACCTACCCCATATTTGGCTGTTCTAATAAACGGCAGTATGAAACGGGGATAAAAAGACATCCCAAAATAAGACTACATATAGTAATAAAAGGGGAAATAATCTTTGACGAAACGATGTAAGAACAAATTCTAACTGCATTAAAAAGTAACAAGTCATGGTTTCAATCACCAGCCAGGCAAGAGTTTGATAATCTCGTGTGTAGAACATATAAATCTGCAAGTACGACAAATTGCATTTTAATTTATGTACTGAAAAGGTTAATTTGTAATACCCCCTACTCGCTTCAGAAATCAGAGCAAACATGTTCTCCCTAAGTACACACTGGGACTAATAAAGTAACCGACTTCACTGGGGTAGATCTTGCATACACCCTCAGCGTCTCGCAGAGCTGTAAAACGTTTCAGAAGTACTTGGCTTTTCACAACACGACTTAGCAAATCCCTTTTACTCAGCTGTTGTGGCACTGCCTAAACCAACACCATCGACGCGGGGATTGCCAAGCAGCATTTTGGGCGGGCGGCAGGGCCGTAAGCCATCCGGACCTACAGAGCCGCTGGAATGGGTTTATCCTTCCACAGCACGCTGTGCCTCTAACACCTAATCCACCATCGCGCAGTCAGTCATCACTTAACAGGATCCAATTCGTTTCTAGCAAGGACACAGAATTCAGTTACTTGTCTAAGTTACTGCTGCAACAGAAGCTGAAATTAAATTTCCATATACAGCAGCAGGGATGAGGTTGCCCCCGCCCCACTCCAGAATCGCCCCAACCCTGTTACATGGGGTGTTATCAGTGGTGCACAAAGTTCTAGAAAAGTTCAGAGAGAAAAATGCTTCATTTTTAGTGTGCACTTTTGGCAGCAATTTAGATATGATCAATTGCACTCATTAGTTCCTTAAAAATAAATTCATTATTTATTAGTTGTTATTATTTAAAAACAAAATTTAAATCACGTCCCTTTAACAGTTACCTGAAATCAAAGGGAAGGAGCTTCATGGTAAGCCCACAAATGTATAAAATGCTCATGTTGACCTTTTTAAAAAAGCAGCCCTTCTGTTCACAAACTTATTTATTGAAGAGTGAATCATTATACATATATTCAATGAAATATTAATAAGAAGTTTATTCTTTGAGATAATTTTATTAAACTTTTCTTCAAACACAACACATTATTGCAAAAAATCCAAATTGCAAGGTATGGTCTCCTCAGTTTCTAATTTTTCTCTGTGGTACTTATCTAAACCAGAAGCTTGCAAAGAAAATGCATGTTGTACAAAAACATTATATGGGGTATATGATGACATACAGTAATTATAATCCTTGGAACACACCAGTATTGATGTATAAATGCTTTAACTCTTAAAAATAAAACGCATAGTGATACTCTGCAACGAGCTGTAAGTGAGGCTCCCACCAACTTACACCAGGATTCTGGTTTTGCATCCATAACAGATCCTCTGCACTGAAGTTACTTAATTATAGGATGTTTTTAATTCAGATGCATACAAAATGGAGTATGAATGAAAAAAGGCCAAGTCTTACCATACAATGCAACTGGACCGAGCAGTCTGTAACTCCAGGCTGGGTTCAAGGCACAGGGGTAATCTCATCCATTGTTTTTAAACCAGCCACGCTACTCTTAACTAGACGTACGTGTTTATCTAAAAATAAATAGTCATCCCATGATATGCACTGTATCATGATGTCAAATAAATATTTCTACAGCACCTATTGCTGTGACTCCGTATCACACTTTGGGGAGAAACAGCTAAAATCAGGGCGGGGGGGGGGGGGGGGGGAATCAGGAAAAAAACCTGTATCTATCCTGAAACAACACAGTAATTATTAAATATTTTATTATTGGCATGTCATTTGCAAATAAGTAATGACAAATTAATGACAAAATAAATAAGAAAAAATAAGTAATAAATTTGGTCCCTAAGCAACTGCAATCTTAACTGTTCGACAAAGTCATCCAAGAGCAAAATCCGATGAAAACAGGAGCCAAATCCAGCACGGCACTAGGCAGTCTCCTCATTCACCAGCAATGGTTCCACTTCCAGTGCTACTAAACCAGATTGTCCCTCCTTGTGCTGACGATACAGGATGAATTGCACAGTCACCTGTTATTTCAGGGTAAGGAAGTAATTAACTAGGATACAGAGGTAGCATTTGCAGTACTTGCTTTCAATTAAAACCAAAATAAGCTGTACAGAATAACAGCAGCCATCCATTTAGTTCTGGCACAGGCTCTGAATACCACAGTCCGCAGAGGAAAGCTTAAAACTTGCTGTATCTAATTCATGTACTGTAGAGTAAGTATTATCCATTTATTTAATCCCGACTGTGGAATTTTCTACATTAGCATATAACCTTTTCCAAATCCTACTTAACGCTCATTGTCCGTACTTCTTTATGGCAAAAAGTTTAATCATATTTTATTTGCAACACTAGAAAAGGGAGCACACAGAAAAATTGTAACTCAAAACTTCAGATCCCCTTGGTTACATGGCTCAAATACACATGAAAATATCCTTTACTACCTCATCCTCGTGCTTGCAAGGGTCCTAAGTGTGAAATTCATTAGCAGCAGAATAGGAATAAGGTTCATTTGGAACAAGGTGGAATCAAACATATTGTCCTGTACTACTCCAGCCTCAGTCGTCTAAATACTGCAGGCTGGGCTGAGGGTGGATGCTGGTAAGGAGAGAAAGTTATTAAAAACTTTTCTTACCAATAGATCAGAAAACAAAATTCTCATTTCCTGCAAAATTCTAGGCCGTTTGATATTTACAGGCACTGACACACAGACAACACTATGACTCAATATTTAAGGCTATTTTCAACATAGAATTGTGCAATTAGACATAATTATTTATTTCTATTGTAAGACAGACCATTGGAAACACTGCTAATCTAAAAAGGATTAACAAGTATGTACTTGTCCTTTTTCTTGATGTCTCCAGCTCTCAAACAATTTTTTTTATTCTGAGCATAGATAGCCTTTAAATAAAAAAAATCAGGGGTGTGCATCTAGAACAGACAGGAGAGAGATTTCTTACTCTTCAGAATTTTTGCTAGACAGTTGAGGAGTCTGATAGTTGAGTACTGAACTTGATACAAAACACTTTGTTTTCTGATAGAAATACCATTTTAAGATACAAAGATATCGTACAAACCTATCCAGCTATGCCCTTCCCTAAGTATTCTTTTCTAAGAAATATGCATAGCATGTTACAGAAGAAAGATTTCCTAGTCACAGAAGATCGATATGGAAATGAGGTGAAATGCAAAGCCGCAGGTACCAGAAGCCTGTCTTCACAAAGAGAAACCATTGCCAGCCAGCAAAGTGGCAATACTCGGTACGGCAGGGTTTCTGGCTCCTACTTTTTCACTCACTTTGGGCACCTTTGGGTTTTTTTTTTCCTAAAAGATGGGAGTGATGTCAGCAGCAGACTATGCTAAACCCAGCATTAGCTGCTATCCAACTTTGACAAAGAAGGCTTTGAGGACAGTAAATGGGTGGAAGCAGGTGTACTAGATGAGGTCAAAGAGAGCCTCCAACATAAGGATCGGCATGAAAGCAGGTTTAAACATATGTGGTGTAGAAACAAGCGGCCATCTGTACACCCAGGCACCTTGTACAAAAGTCCAGTGTGTGCTCATGTAAGTTCAGGTTTTATAGAGCCTGGATCACCACTACTGTTAGACATAAAATTCCCTTTTAAAAATGAAATCGTTTCTCTGGGAGGAAAGTTGACATACAGAATTCTTCCACCAACACTTTAGATCAGTTAAAATAACTTGGCTGGTAGACAATGGTTGTGAGAAGTTTGAGGCTAATGTATGTAATTATTTATAAAAATAAGGAGAGAAAAAAAAAGGCTTTCTGGGAGGCCTGGATGAATGGACAGGAAATTCTCTACATCCTAGGCAGAGCCCCAAGAATTATCCCACCTTCCCAAAGCTTTCCAACATCCCACCTCTGAGGCCCCCCAACTAAAGACTAGACAGGATTTCCTTCAGAGACAGCAGGTCAGCACTCCTTTTTTTAGTATTTCTATAGTATTACGTGGGGAATGCTTTCTTCTTAGAGCTTAGCAAATTAAGTTTTATAGCATATATAGCTACCACTTAAATTTCCTGCCTTCTTCTTTTTTTCTTTTTTATAGGCCTTACTGTACTTGCAGCTGAGCACCTCCCCAAGTCTTAATAGTTGCACCGGTGGAAAAAGACACTGTGAACTGGGAATCAAATTTGCTGAAATCACACTGTGGGCTTGGGACAAGCCTGGGCTCTAGCACTGTGCATTATCACTCTCAGCCACCAAGTTGGCAACAGCAACAGAGCTTTTAAGGAGGAATAAATTATAAACACAAGTTATGTGGAGCTTATCAAACAGTATTTCCAGAATATGTTTTTGTAGCATACATACTCAGCTGCTCATATTTTTAAAATAAATGCTAAACTGCCAAGACTACTTAATATAGAAACTAACTTGCTGCTCAAGTCTGACTTTCTGAGGGAAACTTTAAGACCTAAGCATGCAGACAGCCCAAAGTAGAGGAGACAACCAAACTGACTTCTCAGAGTAAAGTTCATGACAGCCACTAAGCTACTGTATTAAATTTGTTTCATTAAATTAAACAATTTAATGACAACTCAAAAATTGAAACAGTTTTGAGACAAAAGCAGTTATTTACAGGAGCACAGAGAATAAGTTGTACATTTGGCTGGGAAACTCTCCTGGCTGAATTGTCAGGTCAGACTTATATTCTTTGCACAGTGTAATTAAATTACAAAGCGTGATGTTTTGTAGAAGTATATAATGGATACCAAATGGTTGCCCTGCAAATCACAAAAGGTGCAAGAGAAGAGTCTGTGTACAACAGCTTGGCTCTTGCTGAATATACTTTGGCTACCCAGTTAACAACCTGGCTACACTTAATGAAAAGAAGTACATGTGCAGGATTTGAACACAGTTCTCTGACAATAGGGTGATGTCAAATAATAACAAAAAAAAGGCAAAAATCTTGGTAAAGGGCTTTGTCTGAACTAAACACAAAGCAGAGTTGTTTGGTTTTGGTGGGAGCAGGGGAGGAAGGAAGCAGGGTGAAAGAGCATAGTAGACTTACAGAAATGGACCAAGTTTTCTGGAAAACCTTGCACTAGATTCAGTCTCTTAGAAACTTCGTGATAGCGGCTGCTACAAGTCTAAGGGCAGAACTGCTCATCAACTGAGCTAGTGTTTTAAAATACGTAGTACTGCATCCTTGTGTACAAGTGAAGCATTAAGTAATCATCCACATAAAATAAAGCTCTAATAAGGCCCACCATGGAACCCTATAGCAGGCAAACCTGGACTAAGCATCTGACTGACAAGGCACCCTATCAGGCCCACTTAAACCCCGACCGTCGTGGTTTCTTGAGAAACTCCAACCACCTTCCACTGCAAAACGGCAGTTGGAAGGAAACATTTACTGGAAAACAAAATCATGTCGAATTTATAATTCAAATGTGTAATGCTATGAAACTCCTCTTAAAATGAAAAGGAGGACAATTCATACTTTACAAGTAATTGGACACTTCCATTATTTATCAAAAATAACTGGCTTATTGTGCAACCAAATAACTTTAACTGTAGACACCAAAGAAACAGGATGACTGTTATCCTGTTAAACCAAGCCGAAACAACTCCAGTGTAATCCTGCACTAAGTAATGCTGGAGCTGCTGTTCCAGCTATGATCAGGAGTCCATTTGTTTCTAAAAATAGTCAATGCCGGCTGTGTCAGATGGAAGCAACAGAATACTGCAGTAGACACAGAGTAAGTGAACTCTTAATCCTGGCTTGGACCTTGAGAAATGAGAGTTTATTTTCCACCTAATGAAAGTCCGGCCACTATCAGGAATAAAGTCTACCAGAATTAGGCAATTTCTGCAACTACTCCTCAAAACAGAGATTGTCTGTTACACAAATAATCAATTATGAAACACCTCCCTTTTAGAAATTGCGACTTTTTGGTTTAATTCCTCTGTTTTCCAAAACCAAGGTGATCCTGTTCTTTGTTTTCTGATCTAACGTGACATACCAGTTTGTTAGATTTTTCATTTTCTTGCTTGGCAAGAGACAGTAATGAAGCTCTCTTTTTAAAAGCATTGACTTCCTTACCTTCAGGGCTTCTCAAAGCAGGAGGTCTGCTTTTGTTTTCTCTTGATTACAAATACATCATACATTTTCAGCTAACACTATATACTTGACTAGATTCCTATAAGCTCCCCAACCTGATTTGGAAGCATCTGTTTTCAATATAATTTGAACTGGAGGACTATTAGCAAGATTGGATTCAGACTCCAATCAAGACAGAACCCAGAAATGAATGTCATGTGCACACTGGCACTGCAATCCTGGGGCAGGGCTCAGGGAGGGGGGAGGTTTGTGGTCAATATAAAAGTTCCTTTTCAGAGTACATCATAGCAAGGCATCTGCAAATATGCACGTAATGTACTGTAAGGGTCATCAAGATCAAGTTCTAGGGTTTTTTTGGGTAAATAAATACTGGCTGGTTTATGTTTCCAGCTGGGGGGCTGGGGGCGGAAGAAAGAACGAGTCACTACTTCGTTCATGGAACAAAAGGTCCGAGAGCTCAAACCAGCCACATGGGCTGGCTAGCGACCCTGAATCCCTACAGTCTGCTCACGCAAAAGAAACAGCATTGTCTCATAAAAGATAAAACTACAATTTATTTCAAAACGGGCCACGAACCACAGTTTAGTCTCACCACTGTAGTGGAGTATTGCATTCCCACGATGTAGAATGTTTTACTAAACTGCCCACTTAAATCGCCATGGCTGGAGACACAAAAAGCACAGATGGCTATTCTGAATGACAGTATAATTTAACAGTCCATACATAGGCCAGGGTCAGCTGTCCCATCGCTAGTCTAATCGGAGTGGCTTATGAAATTACTTTAATCAGAAAGACAAGACTGATGCCTGGGAATCATAACTTCTGGAACTGTTCCAGGTAAATCTGGTAAAGAACTTCCTTTTAATATGGAACGGATTAACACAGTATGCTTCAGCATGGTCCTGAAATCACTCTTCATTTTATCCTGTTTTATAGTTTGAGTTCATGGAGCTAAGTACCAAGATGTTTTCAGACACAAACCCAAAATTCTGACTTCAGGAAAAATCAGAAAATCTCCTCTTTGTACTCTTTTAAGTGAAAATACAAGCTACAGTAACAAAACAGGTGACTATGAACCTATAGTGAACAGTAAGACCAAGTACCACCACATTACTGTTCGCTAGGCTTTTGAAGCAAAAGTACAATAGTACTCTAAACATTTTGCTTTAACTTTTTGATCACAAGATGCTAATGCTCAATCTAGAAAGAGCACGTCTAACAGTAACTAATATACTGTGGGCCTCTTATGTATGTCCCCTGAATATAAGAACAAAAATTTACAGTGTTTTAAGTTTGCTCAGGACTTTCAAGAAACTGGCATACAAATCTAGATAACTGTGTAGTTGACTAGCCCTTAGCATGACTTAATGAGCATAGCTGCTGGATTTCAGAGGCACTCAGTGTCTCAATGCATCTGATTTTGCCCCGAATTATGCGATTAAGGGTAGCTGCAGCATTTCTTTGCTAAGTGCTATTTTCTGAAACTAAGTTTGCCAAAACCTCATTGTTTGTCTCTGACGTTAATGCAATCTTGCAATAACACTTAAAATTTAACCAAATCCTCAAAGCTATAATTCTGTATTTGCATTTAAAAACAAGCAGGCTTGAGATCTGTTGTGGGTTTTTTGTGTGTTTGGGGGGTTTTTTTGGTTTTGTTTTTTTTTTTTACATTTATCAGACAGCAAACCTAAGAAAAACAGCACAATGTGTAACAGCCCCCCCCACAACTTATAGTATACTGCATATTGGCTACAAGATATAAATTAACCTGTGCAATGTAGCTTTAACGTAGATATTTTCTACAAACTTGTTATTCTTATCAAGAATTATTATTATAAAAAGCATACAAATTATTGTTCAGAAAGAAGATTTTATGATCAGGTTAGAATCACAGAAAAAAATTCGATTTAAAAAAAAAATCAACTTGATTTCTGATCTACTTATTAGCAAGCCTATCCTGAGAAACTCTAGCTATAACAGAAAAAGGATACAAAAATGTCTAGAAACAAAACTCCAAAGCTCCCAATGAGCCATGGAAGATGGTGTAAAAAGTAGAGGGCCCGGAAGGATTCAGTAGCTGGCATCTTTAAAACAAGACTCAGTCCATATGTACAGTTTCCCATCATGGCTAATGCAAACAGCAGGTAAGAGGTGCCTTCTGTTGATCTTCTTCGGAACTAAATACAAAGAATTTTTCACAAATACAAAGAAATGTTAAAATATGTATCACAGTAGCCAGTTATAGATATTTGTGGTGGGTTGACCCTGGTTGGATGCCATTTTTTGGGACCCTCGTTTGGCATTTTGTACTATAACACATCCAAAGACTTTCAGTCATTCTTGTCCATCTCTTCCTGGGCTCTGAATCCTCCACCCTTAATACTTTCAGCACCTATCACTGTAAACTATGGAAATTGTTACGCTTCTTAGAAGCAGCTCCAGTTAAAGTAATTTTTATGTAAGTGCAAAGCAGCAAGGATAATCTGCTTCCAAATGATATTTAGTTCTTAAGAAATCTGTTGCTCTATCAGCCTGTTTAGTAGACCTTTTTGAAAATACTGTGGTATTCCAGCTGTGAAGGAAAAGGTACAGGAGGAATATGAATAGGCTTGAAAATGAACTAATCATTTCAATCAATTAAAATGCTTGTATACAATTGACAATGTAAAACCTTCTGGTCTTTTGTTGTGTTTGGTTTTTTGGGGTGGGGTTTTTTTCTTTTGCTTTGTTTTGTTCTTAAATATACTGGTAGTGAAGAGGCTGTGGGGGGGGAAAAAAAAGCCAGTAATGGCATCTTTGTGAAAAGGGGGTAAAATTCCAAACTAATTTCCCTCTAATTCTAACTTTTGATCCCACAGTTGGTTTCTTAAGGTACAATAGTTTGGAGAAGGAAAAGGGGAGATATCACTTGCTCACGACAACAATCATGGAAAGCATGTTTCCGCTCATATCTGGTAAATCCAACTGTAAATACTTCAATTCCTCTTCCCTTGCCTATCAAACCTCTTCCATCAGTCAAAGAGCACCATTTTCCTAAAACTCTCACCATGCTCCTCTGAATGGGAAAAAAAAAACCAAACCATTTTTTTTCTTTACCATATCAGACACTCACAAAAGCAAAGTAGGCTTTTGAGCTCAAGAGGGCTCACTGTTAGGGAAAATCCGACATCTAAAGCAACAGAGAGCATTTTGTAAAATACACAAGTATACTTAGCCAAAAACCTACTTACATTTGTATACAGCTGAGGAAATCTACTTCCCAAGTAAAACACACAGGATATATAGCCACAAATGAAGCCTGACATTTCAATCATATCAAGAGAGTTCTGAAAAAGAAAGGTACATATATTTTGGCAAGAATGTTTTCAGGCATTTCAGAGGATTAAACTGAGAGTCCACTGGCTGACTTTCTGGACAGAACTCCTTTCAAAGCAGTTCAGTGCTGCTCTTCAAATGACCAAAGAGGGTTAGAAAGGGTTTGATCTTTTCTCGCAACAATGCACACTGCTGCGTCATAGCCATGACCGAGATCAAAACTAGTGCCGGGCTTTAGGATACGACACTAATATCAATCCACTCCTCCTGCTAAAAAAGCCTGGGCACAATAATTCAAACCAAAACTACGAACTGTAGCTAGGGCCACTAAAAAAATGAATCGTCCTGTCTGGAGGAAGCAAAATACTCATTTTTCATAGTTTAAGAGTTGTTCGTTTTCTCACTCTAGCTGTGTTTTGAAAATAAGCTGCTTCCCTGCTGGGCAATGTTGCTGGATTACAATTATTTTACTGGCATTAGTATGAAGGCCATCAAATTGCTAGAATAGCCTGTGAACTTTCCTGCTGAAATGACAGCAGCAGCAGGTACAATTGTAATTTTCCACTTTTATTGATTTCACTTGTGACTGTGTAGTCTCTACATGGATGTCTACAGTACTTAACACAAGCAGAAACACAACACGTATACATGTTATTTCACAGAGCAGCACAGGGACAGAATAAGCCCGAAACACAGGAAGCTGAAGCAATTTTCTAACTTCTTTATTTTGGGATGCATGGTCCATAGATAAAAGATCCACACAGTGCCACATTATGATTTCTAAATCATTGTTAAAAACACCATCCAAATTTCTTTAAAGCTCAGTGTACACAATCTTTTCAAGACACGTTTGGGTGGGATTTTGTTTGAATGGAAGCAGGGAAGAACTTACATTACTTCTTTCGATTACTGTATTCTGGTCTTGGTTTCGTATTAACAGCTGACAGAGTAAAATAACACACAGTGCTATACACACCATGATCCAGGTTATACAGAAATTCTTCAGGCTTTTGCTGCCTACAATGACATACAAACAAATTAGCTGAAAAATAACATCTGCTGTTGATTGGAGGTTACTTTTTGTTTGCAGTATAACTACGTAAATTTAAAGGTACAATTTCATGTATCATTTTCTTGGCAGCAATGTAAGTCCACCTCTTTCTTCTGGGCTCTGTGTCCACCCCTGCTCACTATCATAGTTGTGCTGTGTCTTTGTGCAACAACCGATGGTAGCAGTGCAGGAACGGGACAGGAACTCCTTGAACAGTCATTGTTAATGACAGAAAATTGTCATACTTGGCTTATCTCTTATATTAACTCCTAATAGTTTATGATTAAACAACAGTTGAGAAAGAGAAAACTGCTAAGTAGAATAGAATGTAACAGTTTCTTTCAACATATCTTGATTAAAACCTGCAAAAGAAGGATATTTGAAATTTAAATTAACAAAACTAGCTCTAAGATAGATATGTAATCTAAAGTGCTGTGCTGGACCAGTCTCTATGTCCATGGTTAGCTAGATACCGAGCCTTACCAAGACTCCAATATTCAAGGACACAGACTCCATACAGCAAGACTCAAGAGACACCTACAAGACAACTTGAAAATGGCAGACAATCCTACAGAACTCTGGAGCTACGGTACCTTCTGTATCTGTAAGATGCTGGTAAAGTCCTGCAGTCGCTGTTACCAGTGGGACAAACTGTTGTATGGCATTAGTAAGTCTGCCCTAAAGACCTGCAGGGCTAATTACACAGGCTTAGTAGTGCTGGTCCACAGGCTGCACCTTGGGATGCAAAATTGACCAACTTGTCTAGGGTAACTGCTCCAGAACTGGGTACTGAAAAGTCCTCTTTTGCAGCTTTAATCACAGTACCATTCCCCCCTCTCCAGCTACGCAAACCATTGAGCTGCAACAGGCACTGGCAGTTAAAATGTACAAAAGCTTGTGTTTGTTTTCAAGAGTAGGCAGCAGGAAGGAAATATCTTCAGCACTGACCTATCTCCAGGTTTATTATCAGTTCCATATTGAATGAATCTGCTTTATCCCTATTTAGTCTGCTGGGCAGGCATCTGTTTTACTTCCGCTTTTTTTTTCCCCTGCTTTCCCATGGGTTTTTTTTGGTTTTTTTTTTTTTTTTTTTTTTTAGATTGATGAGTTAATGTTTTTGATTTGATACAATGTGAACAGGGCTTTCTGCCTTCCATTTCAGTCAAAACAGTAGTCCACTGGTAGGCTGAATACTACAACTACTGCCAGGATTTTATGAAGCATAACTCGAGTAATTTCATTCCCCTTGAATATGTTTTTTAACTACATGTATTGAAACAGAACACATGAAGATGTCAAGATATTTTATGCTATAAGCAAGTGAAGTCCGGTTTCAATCAACATGGAGCAAACTAACTGAACCACACAAAGAAATAATGCTTGCTTTCAACTTATACATATATTTAGATAGCTGTAAGTAGATAGTAAAACCATGGAGTAAGTTAAAATATGGAACTGGATTCCACAAAACTATTGCATTTTTTATGTCTATATAAACTGAAAGTATTACACGGAAAATATTTACAGATACTATGTGGGTAAGAAAAGAGAAGAGAAAGGAAGAGAAAGTGTAGGATTTTCACAAGAGCCTAAGAAAACTGGAAGCAATAGGCCTAACAACTTCAACCAGAATTTGTGCACTCTATTTTTTGATCCCTCTGAAAAAAAAATTATGTAAACACTGTAGAAAATATCAAAGTAAAGACTGTGCTACAATATGAAGAATATTTTAATTGTTGAAAAACCTTACATTTTGTCATCTTCTGATTCTTCAGCTTATAGTAGACAAATTGTGAAATCATAATTACATCCATGTTAACATAAAAAATGGCAGTGACAATCTGAAAGAGAAGATACATTTGCTTGTTCAGTATACAAATACTTCAAAATACCTTAACTTAAATGTATAGAAATTTTGCTTCATAATCATAATATGAATGACAAATACCAAAGCACTCTCCCCCCAAAAAAAGAAAAAGAAAGCATTTCCAGTACAAAACAAGTTAGACCACTGTAGATGAATGCAGTGTAAACCTTACAAAACAGGGACTTGCTGACACAATCACAATAGTTGGTCATTTTCCAGGATGCATAGCACAAATTCCTACCTGGGCAGACTGATAAATCCTTCCTGCCCAGAAGCTTAAGTCTGCTCCACCTAGTTTCCCAGCACTTTGGAAGCTACCTCTCTTACTTAGTGCCTTTTATTTCAGCAAGACAAAACCAACATTCTCTTTTCCCCTTTTCGTAATGGGGAGATAGAACGGTTAGCGCCACACGTTAAGTTGTAAAAGAGAAGACAACTCTGTCCATCCTTGGGTCCATCTCCAGCTTGTGAAAACTTCTGCAGGTGACTGACACATACCTCTTTCTCTTTTAATTAAGAGTCAAAAATAAAAACTGCAGATAAGAAAGTTTCAGACACAATTAATGTATTGCTGAAAATGACTGTTTCTTTCAGAGAAACCCTCCCTCTAATGAAGAAAATATATTTTCAAATTAGTCAGACACTAACAGCTTTGAACTAGTATTTCCCTGTTAATAAACAATTTTCTTAAAAAAACAAACAAACAAGAGGAAGTTTAAAGAGTAGCTGCCCCAAAACAGCTTGATCTATTACAAGCTAAACAACACAACTTCCTTCCAGCCCCTTCCAGCCCTCTGCAAGCTTACTTTGAAGCCAAAGCTCAAATTAAAATTCCCCACTTCATTCATCATCAAGTAATACCCAGTAAGTCCCTTTGAATGTTAATTACGAGTGTGAAATTACTCCTATAACACGTAACAGTATCAATGTAAATATTTGGGAAATTATGACTTATTTTACAGACGATAGATCTGTGAACAGAACACAAAACTATTTTATTCCCCAATATGTACTTCACTGTGCAATATTAAGTTATCCTAGACTTTAAAGAGACAGTTTGAAAAGAATAAATCAAAAAGTAGGAATATTGACAGATTACCTGAATTGGCAATTGATTTGTTAAATAGCAGCCTATGAAATTTGTAAGATCTCCAGCTATCCAACACAGCAGAAAGCCCAAAGACAGCGCTTGATCCACTCTTCCATTCTGACAGGCAACGTAAATTTGACTGGCACAAATTCGAGAAGTAATTGTAAAATAGTATAAGTAAAAAATGTTTAATATGTTCAGAAGTACATTTTTCAAAATCTGAATAAAGATTAAAACTCTAGCCACAAGAGACTTATCACAGCAATACTCCACTTACCTTTTGAAGAAGAACTCAATATCACTATAGCTCACCATGTCTTACTCTCACATAACAAAAGACTCAAATCACAACCTCATTACTGCTTGCATGTGCCCCTTTTTTGTGGCCTGCACTGAACTACAATTTTCTGGTCACCAGACCTATGCCATAAGCATTTTATATTCATTTGCTGTAAATACCAGCCTTTAAAATATTGAAATAAGAAAACCACTGTTATTTAACATAGAAGGGCTAAGAATGAACAAAGCTGCTAAAAGAGCTGACGACTACACTTATGCCTCTAAATTGGAGAGCTATTATTCACGTTCACAACAGGGACTACGAAGCAATCCCAAATGTGAGTCCATTAGACATATCTTGATGAATTCCATGCTCACTAACATGACAGTTTTAATGTAAAGCCCCCTTTCAACGAATATTTCAACTAATATTTTTGAAGCTCAACAGCTTACTATGAGTGGTTTTATTTTGCTTGATTTCCATAGCCTTTTTACTAGTTCAGTAAATTATATCCCCCTTATGGGGACAGACTTTGGAGTCAATCCCATTTTGTTTCAGGCATTTTCACCTGCTGGGAGCATTTCTACTTTTCCTTTGTCATCTCCTATCTACATATTTGAAACCTGAACCCAGTGCCAGCGACCAAACAGCAACTGATTTAGCACTACTGAAGTGCTAACTCATGTGCTGCTTCTGACCTTCTCCCAGTCCAAATTTCGTTGGCAGGAGCCAGCACAACAGTACCGGTGACATAGCATGTGGTTTAAATAAACACTGAGCCAACTTCTGCTGCAAGTGTGCCTGCGCGTGCACACACATCTCAGGGTGGAGAAGATAAGAGAGAAGAGGTGATTTATTCTCATTTGCTCTAAGTGGCAGAGATTAGTGTCAAGTCAGTACAACAGAACAGTACATCAAGCTCATTTGTCAACCACCAAATATTTTTGCAAACATGAACAACATGCTTCTCTGGCATATTATATCTGTATTATGCAGACAGAGAAACATATCCAAGATAAAATAAAAAAAAGGCAGCTTTTGAAAAAGGCTTCAGGCAAGATTACTCATGTTTGAATCTGAGGACTGCTTAAGATTTTAAACTTACGGTAGTGCAGCAAACAGAAAACAGACAATGGAAATCAGTCCTATGACAACGCTCCAATACTCCCACGCATTCTCAACACATTCTTCTAGTAGATGCCAAATCCATGGTGTTCCATTTATGCACAATCTCCTATTCTCTATTGGGGAGATATTGAAAGCATGTGTATACAGCTGAGAAGCCATCATTCCTGGACCGAGATTCAATTTCAGAAGTTTATTTCTGCCTCCATTTTTACCGCATGCAAATCCGCAAATCCGTTTACCAATGCTGAATATCCTCTGTGAAAAGACCTCTGCATCCAGACGGATGCTTGATATCACAGTTATTTCCAATCTCATAAACGAACCTGCCAAATTCAAAGAAATAAACATAGCCAGTGTGAATAAGACATTAACAGTACAATGCTTGCTTATATTTATTGCTTACAGAAGAGAAGTTAGACTTCCAAGAAAGAAAAATACTTCGCGGTCCATCGCATTCATTAGCTCTTGACAAATATGCAACACTGCAGATTTATATCACTATAGCATTCTAGTCTGAGGTTGTGTTAGACTAAGACTGCCAGTTACACTAAGGTGCCAGCATTCTGCTACAGGGTAAAGTAAGCCAAGCCATTTATTTGCACTTAAGACCAAAACTCTGATTTTCATGTTCAACATTATGCCAATAAAGTAACAGTACTTTATTTAACGGTACTAGCCCAGATTCTGAACACTCTTCTCACACTTAAAAAACATAATGTTGCTTTCTATGCAACTAACTTCAGGATAATGTTATGAAAAACAAGTCAGTCACGACTCAGATTCCAGACAAGCTCTAAGGTCTACTTGAATCTAGCTAGCCTGTCAGACTAACCAGTGATTCAACATAGTGTCAAACAGTTTGTATTATTTAATACTCCAGAGGAAAGATGGAAAGCATAAGAAACTTGCAGAAGGCAAACGTAGGGTACCGCCACCCCCAAAATCCCCAGAATGAAACATAATAGTACAATGCGGCTTAAATTTTGAAGCAAGGGAGGGTTGGGTTTGACCTTTAAAAATATTTTCTTGTAGCCAATTATAATAATTCTGGTATTTTTTGTTCCTGCTGAAATATCCATCCTATTTGAAATGTTAATATTTACTTAGAGGGCTAACCACTACAAAAACGAAGAAAATTTTAACAAAAAATGCAGAATTATCTATTACTATTCCTCGAAACTTCCTGCTGACAAAACCCAGCTGATACATTATCATCAGAATGAGTAGGTTAAGTCCTCTGAACATTAATAATTCCTCATACAGAAGAGTCTAAAATCAACTAGCTATTAAGGAAAAAAGCCAGAGCAAATGCACTGTTTAAAAAAAACCAAACAAAATAAGTACTATACTAGTAGGTTCACTTGGGGACAGGGCTTGGAAGGGCTGACAATATTCCCTTTCTGCAACATAACATGTTGGAGCCACCCTCATTATGCATCAAACTACTCTCAAATCTTGATAAAGTTTCGCAAAGTTTGTTTTCATAGAGCATCATTCACTGTAAAGTTAGGACTCACTTTGCTAGTCGTCGAGAAACCTGCTTTTTCTTTCCATGAGACTTCAAGTATCCACGGCATTAAAAGCTGGAACAAGTTTTCTGCAGAAACTGGCTGCCTCTCAAGAGAACCGTCATCATTGGACCTAAACCAATTAAACGATAAAGAAAGAAGATGTATTCATACACTGAGAATTCACCTTAACCTATTAGATATATTCAGCTTATACTGGTGAAGTTATTAGACTTTGTAGCTATCTTTGAAAACAATTTTTAAAGTTAAAAAAAAAAAAAGTTGCAAGTAATCTTTCAACTAAGTTTCCCATTCTGGTACTCTGCAGCTGAGCAGGGTTTTACCACCCACTAAAACGGGAGAAACATCAAAGCACACATACTACTTAGGAGGCAGGTTTTAGGCATGAACTTGCAATCATTCATAAGCTTTGTAACAAAAACCTTATACATTTTATTAAGCTTCATCCCCAAATGCCCATTTCAAGATAAGCAAAATATGTCAGATGTAAAAAAAAAAAAAAAAGAAAAAAAAAGAATATGGTATTTGTATTTTAAAAGCATGTCTGAAAAATTAGGTTTAACATGGTATTTAAAACCATGTCTGAATATCATAACTGCAGTTGGACTCACGCATGCAAAAGTTCTCTTACAAGATCAAGGACTATGTGGCAGCAAGTCTAAACAAGGCAATTCAGACTCAACCACCTGATCTTATGCTATACCCTGCTCCAAAACCCTGCAGCTATTATGGAAAACCAAACAGTTTAAAAAGTGGTGGGAATTAGACAGGCCACTTACACTTCCCAGATGACGGAAGACTTGAGCTTTGGCCTCCTGCCACACAACATACTTAACACATTTAAAGCATGTGGATATTCTTGGGTTGTTATTACTTAACATTTATACAGCAGAATAATGTTTGTGTTGCCTGTCCTTGTGACTGTATTTTTAATCTTACAATAATTGCTATTTTTCTTAAATCCCCAGTAAAATACTCTGTCCTAGTAAGAGCCCGATCACCAAAACCAGCAATTCCAGCAGCGGCTAGAACAACTGGGTGCCATCAACTGAACATATCGGCCACAAAAGCTGAACTCCTCCTGCCATTGCTGGGAAGGCAAAAGGCAATGGTGTCTGTGTTTGATCTTCAGTTATTTTCACACCTGGACTAGGTGTGCCATATTAGGATATAGCCTTCACCAAATAAGCTATGTCTTCTGACACTAAAGCACTTCATAACTACACCTTCAGCTCAAAAGAATAAAGGTGTTTGAGCTAGGCCAATACAGATGGTTCCCTCCCCCAATATGTTGAGTCTTCCAGAGAGATCTGAAATTTTCCTCAACATTTAAAAAAACCCCTTCCACTTCTCTTTCGTTGCATTAAATGGTTCAAACCTGAAAAGAGGATAAGGAGACTGCTATGACATCTCTTTTCTTCCTGTCGTATTTAAGTTGCCAATGATGAGAAAAGAAAATAATATTAAAAGGTGATTTATGGTCCTATAACAATTCCTTGCCTGCAACCTCACATGCTTTCTTAGATTAATGCCCAAATACTAGTTACTACCATTTGGAAAAGTTATAGTAAAGGTATTCTTTTCACAGGAGAGTGAACCTGGAACCTTGACATCATACCTTTCTGAAAAGTTTTAGTGTTTGCCTAGCTAGAAGTAAAACCATTATGGCGCAAGATACTTAGTAAGAAGGAATCAGTAGCTTAAGGCTCCTGTTTGGACACTCTTTTTCTTATTTGAATACTTTATTCTGGAGTAAAAACGTGCAAACAGAAGTAGTCAATGGTTTAAAAGTGAAATCCACTTCATTAAGAATAGCTTCACAGTGCAGACGAGGAAAAGCAAGCTTTCCCTGGAACCGGGGAGACTTGCTGCAGATTCTCTGCCTCCCCAGCTGCCAAGCTGCCGTGAACATCCATGCGTTCTGGCTGCTGCATGTTCCTGGATGTCAAATAACGAGACATTGCTAGTAATGTGTAAAGATGTCAGATATGTGTGTTTGGCAGATTTGCAAGTTCTCTAAACAGCAGCTAATAACAGCCTGAAATCTAGAAGGATGTTCAGTTGTACGGTATTCATAACTTAATTACTCTTGGGGGAAATGAAAAAAACCAAAAAAAGTGGAGCTAAACTAAGGAGTAATTCAGGGCTTCTTCAAACGCTTCCCAACGGTAACCAGGTGATCGCGTTTTGTCTCCAGCTATTCTCTAAATGTATTTTTACACACTCCTGATTGTGAACGCCGCCTCTTCAGAGCCGGTGACCAAATTTTACCTAGAAACCAAGCCCAGTTCTCACAGAACACTTCCAACTTAGCTTATAAAAAATAATAATAATAAAAACACCCCAACAAAACATAAGGAAGCGTCTTTCTTCAGGAGAGTCCAGCTGCCATCCCAGCCCTAAAGCCCCCGGGGGAGCACCGTCCCTCGGGGGAAAGCGGGTCCAAGAGGCAGCGGCTGCTTGTGGGGCCTTCTGCAGACCCGGGGTGCTCCGGGGGAAGGGGTCTGTCCCCCCCGTACCCCCGGACGGTGACGGTACTTGGTCATCAGAGGAGAAACGGGAGCGGGGAAGGCAGCGTTAAAGGAATCCCGATAATGGCGGAGGGGGCTCGGCCTGTGCGGGGAGGCGAAGACACGCACCCGAGCGGGGGCTGGCACCGACCTGACGAGGCTGTGGCTGTGGCGGCGGCTGCTGCTGCTCCGGGGATCCGGCCGGGCGCGGCGGTCGGTCGGTTTCACCACACGGAAGGCCCTGCGGACAGGGAGCGGGTTTAAACTCCCGCGCATCGGCGGCCGCCACCCGCCGGAGAGGAGTCGGGGGAGCCCGCCACCCACCCGCGGCAAGGCGGAGAGACGGACGGACGGACGGGCGGGAGAGAGGGCCGGGCCGCCGGCCCTCCCCTTCC